TGTCTTCGGACAGCCCACCCGTTTGAACTAATAAAGTGCCAGGGGCCTAAGTGGTCACCTCAATATTAAAAAAAATAAAAATAAAAATAAAAAAAATAAAAATAAAAATAAAAATAAAAAAAGTTAATTGAATTTGATCAGATAAGTGCGGAGTTATCTTTGTTCAAAGTTTAGATATCTAAAATAAAAAAGCTGCAACCAAACTTTTTTCAGCTTTTAATCAATATTTCTCAACATCTGTCTATTCAAATTCAGTAAAAAAGTTTTTTTTTTAATTCTTCATACTTGCAGAATCAAAATAAAAAAAGTTTATTTGAATTTTGATAGATGGGTATTGAGAAATCATCATTTAAAATTTCAAAAAGAAAAAATTTGTTGATTTTAGATTTTTTTTTCCAAGATATTTCAAGCTTTTTCAAAACTTCTAGTGAAGGTTTCTTAATAACCACTAAACCAAATTCAATGAATTTTTTTTATTTTAATTTTACAAATATATAGAATCAAAATATAAATTTGATCGAATGATTACTAAGAAATCATTTAAAGAAATTTAATGTTTTGGCCTCAGAATTAGATCGGAAACAATCTATAGTGATCTTCAGCCTGGAATTTTCTTGACATAAGGAAACCCATTCAGAATTCTGCAATTTTTATCCATTATTTTCCGCACATAATTGTACAGATTTTTGCAGCTAATTTGGCTGGCACTACTGATATTGTCTGGTAGATCTATATAGAATTATTGATTTGATTTAAGACAATTAATCATGTATTGTTTCATGCTAACAATAAGCTATGCCTTAGTTCTGCAAATCCAAAATCAGCAGACCAATAATAATACACTATTTAACTGCGGATTTTGCAAATTCGACAAATGCACTGCAGAATTTGCAGAATATCTGCGCGTTATTTTGAATAATACCTAAATTAACTTTAATTTAGGCCAAAATTCAAAGCTACATTCCTGCACGTTATTTCATGTTTATACCTGATTGTATAGATAAGCTATGATTTGCAAATTTGATTATGTTCCTATTACACACTGCAATAGTGCGACACTACACAGACTAAAAATACTTTATTAAAAGTTATATGTTATAGCAACAATCAATAGATAAAAATTTCATCTATATCTTCTTCAGTTACAAGTGAAATGTCATCATCTGGTAAATGTAACCACTTTCTTAAATTTTCAGAGCAATTGTCAATTGGAATAAAGGAACGAATTTTCTTTTGTAATTTTTCTTGTTCTAAAAACCCATTCCAAATAACTGCAAAAAAATTAAAATCTTCATGTAACATGTGATTGCATCAAATGCAAATGGAATTATACAAGAGACCAATTCAACTGCCAAATATTTTCTTTTGCTTATTAAAGAAATAGCAAGCAGTGTAAGTCGGTCTCCAATAACCTGAATGCTATAAGTTTTAACATTTTTGGCATCCTCAATATTGCAATTAAGGTTATTGCCAAGAAGTCGATATAAACTACATATAGCCATAATTAATAGTTTTTTTACATCACCAACTGTATGTTTTTTTTTCGATCTATAGAAAGGCCCGGATACTTCAACATTCAAAATCTCTCTTGCATCGAATAACCTGAAAATAAGTAGATCAGCTTTTCGTTACCCAAAATTTTTTGTAAACATGAGGTTTGCTTCCTTTATAGATCTTATATCTTTTTCTAACCACATATATTTGATATCAGGAAAAGCATTGCGAAATGCTCATAAAATTGAGAACAGGCATTTGACAATATAAGATCATTCAAGTATATCACGGTCTAAAACTTTTGGCATCAAATATTTAAACATAAAAACAAAGTCCAGTAACGCATATTGAATAAAGAATATAAATCTATTCTCTTTCATTGTTTGATTATTTTCAATATTCGTCTCCAAAATTACTTTAGATTCGATTTTAGAATAACTTGCTTGAAATATGTTTTCGAGCTTTTTAACTATCAAATCATTCATGACCAATTTGTTTCCCACCTGGAGCATATTTTTGACTTTTTCATATACCAGTTTTTCAATGGTTTCTTTGACAAGATGTATCATTGTATTAAAAGCACATATTATGTGTGCAGAATATTCATTGTATATTGCTTTTGTAATAATGGGTTTATTAAGTATCACAATTAAAGTGCTTGTAGCTGAATGAATTATATTAGGTGTCGCTATTAAAGTGCTCGTAGCTGAATAAACTGTTGGACATAGCGTGCTTTCATAAGAAATAAAGTTATTGCAGACATATTTTTGTGATTTTATATTTTTATTCTTGATAAATTTCTAAAATAAAGTCATAGTTGAGTGATTCACGAATATATAACCTGGTAAAAATAATAGCTACAATACCTTAAATTCTTCTACATCCTCTAAATCTGAACTTGATGATTTCTTTACATTCTCTAAATCTGATTTGGCGTAACTGATTTTCTTTGTTTTCCTAAGTAATATCCCATCTGAAGGTGGTGAAGAAGATGCGGAGTATACTTTATTTTCCGGTGTTAGTGGCTCTTCTTCATGTTGATGTTTATGTGATGCTAGTTTATCAATTTCTTTAGTGACTAAGTTAATAGCAGAAACAGTAGTTCATTGAGATTTGATAGTTTTTTTTCCATTGAATTTCAGCGTCATTAGCTGCAATCTTCTCATTGTCATGTTTATATTGGATGACTTTTTTTGCAATGTTGAACCAGTGTTGTTTTTCAGGTCCCTTTCATTTTGAAAGTAACTTGGAGGCGTATTTAGAGACACTGTTTAGCCACTCCGAATCCCGTTTTGATAACGAACCCAAACTCCGACAACAAACTATAAAACAATCATTTTTCAATAACTCCAGATTATTTTCCAGTAACTTGCTAATATAAGAATCTATATTATGCCACTCTTTCAACAGTTTCGAAGTGACATAGGCATCATGCAAATGAGCTTTTTTTGGTGCCACGAAATCCTTTTTGGCCATAATGCATAGCAATTAAGGCCAATAACTCTGTAGCAAACGTGGATTTTACAGGTTTACTAATTTCTCTTCACACTTCTATTGGATGAATACAAATAACGTTTCTATTGGATAAAACCAATTACATCACTAATCAATGATTACATATTGCAGTCAGGGATTTTACCATATTTGGCGATTGACGATCGCACCTTATTTAGTAATGATTTCCAATCGGATTATTCTAGATTTCTTTCCAGATTGTTCTACGTATTACGATGATTGACCAATCAAATCAAGAGCCTATATTTAATCGATTTTTAGCAAACGTATACCTGTATAATCTTCAGGTGCTATATCTGTATATAGCTGTATAGTATTTTACATATTTTTTTAATTTTTTTTTCGTCTTATTTATTTTATTTATTCTATCTATTTTTTTTTATTTGTATCCGTTTCATCTATTCAATTCTGCAATTATAAGTTGGCTTCTTTATATCTATTGCACATAGACTTTTATAAAGATAATTATAATTTCTTTATATTACAGTCAGACCTCTCTAAATGCAATGTGACGGGACCATATGTAAAAATTTTGCCAAACGTGCATTTATAGAGGTAAAAATCCATAGGCGTAATATTAGTTGGGCCCAAGAAAAGACGTGCATTTAGGGAGGCTTTTCATAGAACGTGCACTTAGAGAGGTTGCATTTAGGGGGGTCTGACTGTATTACTATTAAATTTTTTTTTTTTTGCTTTATAGCGGTTTGCAAAAAGATAATTTTCGTGATTTCAAATAGTCTAATATTACATATTTATTGGAATCTACAAAATTCTTGAATTGACCTTTTTGCAAAGTGCCATAAGGTTTTAAAATCAACCTTTTAGAACCTGATCCAGAATTACAATGTACGATAACCACAATAAAAATTAATTGTATTGCCTATCAAAATTGCGACCAGGAGCAACAGATTGATCAATCTATAAATTTATGAGCAGTGGAATCATGTAAAATATTTTTGTGGTATACGAAAATATTTATTTGAATTTAATAAATTATAACTTATACAATGATTCTATTTATTATTCATATATCTGTATATATCATTGTTTTACATGATTTAGACCAATGCTTTTATTTGCTTATGTTTAGAACCCCGCATATATTAAAACAAAATATATAAAAAAATTAAAATTTTAACATAATGCACTTACCTTCGGAACAATCAATCGCACATATCGCTTTTCTATTAATACTGTAATAGTAACAATCCTCGATGCTTCTACGTTTCTGAATTTTTGGAACAATCATCATTGTTATCATGTTCATTTTCTGAATTAAATAAGACCCTTACCTCCTCTAATATAATTAATAATTCATCTTACCTTTTTTGTCTGAATCCACAGTACTTTTTTTGAACGCTTTCACCTATCTGTTTTAAAAAGCCATCGATCTTGCCAATTATTTCTGGTCTTGTTATATTTTCATCCGCTTCTTGTGTGATTTCTTCTTATTTGGTTACTGGAATTGGCTTAAAAGAAGAATCAGAATTAATTTCACAAAATGCTTTATCAAAATACTTTTTTCTTGCTTGCTTTGCTAAATCTGTAAAATTTAACAGCTGTGCACTTAATTCATGCCCTCCCAAGCCTTTGCATATAGTCACCGATTTAAAAGGATCAATAAAATTATTACATCATAGATGAATTCTGAATCTCTGGCACTTTGTAGTTGATTCCGGTCATGTCCTTGGGCCAGTAGTTTGAAGATCGTTATATCCGATTGATTTAAAGAAATTACACTGCAACTAAATTTAAAAATTTTTATAATTTATTAGAATTTATAAAAATTTTACTATTAAATTATTAATAAAATCAAATATAATGGATTACCTGAAGAAATTTTTTGCAATTTCTCGTGGCAATTTTCCAATGGCGTGCTTGTGGAACAGATGGTATCAATGTTTTTAAGGTCTTATTTATTTCTTCTAAAATCACATCTAACCCCTGGTGTTTATTAAAGTGCTCTGATCGAGAAACCACACTATAATATCTCATATCGTCGGATCAAGCTGCATCAGTTGTATTTCGTTTGAAAAGTCTATTAGACGGTATATTGGATGACGTCATGCAGACCATATTGGCAAGAATACTCTTTTTGCAGCTCTCTTTAACAAAGGATTATTATTTCTAACAGCTGTCCTGTAATTAATAATGACTTGGAGATAAGTGAAGATCTATTTAAGAAAATTTAAGAATATTAATGGTAAATATATTGAATTTTTAACCAAAATATAGTAATTCTACTTGTTCAAATTTTAATCGATAAACTGGATCCTTTTGCTCCTTTACCCAGTCTAGGTATTCCTCTACCGACAGATTAGAATAATTCTTGATATATGGCCACATCAATTCCATAGCCATTGCTTGACAATAAATGTTGCAAATTGAATCCCAAGATTTGTGATGATCGTGACATTTCTTGAAATAAGCGAGTTGATTTTCAGTTTTATACCCTTGGCATATTGCAAATTGTTTAAGGTCAATATCCCTTTAAAATGATAGGAGTTAAAATTAGATAAAGATTAGATAATTTAAGATAAAACTAATATTTCTTAAATAATATCAATAGCTTATAAAATTAAACAATTTGAATTCGAGCCGTTATTCAACATTTGACTTATAATTAAACTAATTGTGGCTTTTTTTATGAATATGCATGATAAACTTACCAATTCAATTCAACATATGCCCGAAGCATGTTCATTTCTTTATGTAGTTGACCAGGAATAAGAACAAGCCAAGGGTACTTTTCTTTTATTTTAATTATACGTTGATATGGAACTCCATCACACGTAATAGCCACCCATTTGTGTCTTCCATCTTCGATTCTTGAAATTTCTTTAATATGGGAAAGAACTTTTTCAATATTCGTAGCTGAATTTGGGTTAATATTAAGAGGATCAGGTACAAAAATTTCTGGAATATTAACTTCCTAATCAGCAAATAGCTTCTGTGTAATACTAATCCTTGGCACGGCAGGTAATTTAGCTTCATTTTCAATACAATACTGCTTAAAAGTAATTGATTGGTCTTTTATGCTCTTCTCTAACTCCGGAGTATTCTGTTTTTGTAATTCTGACAATGTTGGTAGACGAGTTCTGCACTTTGGACAAACTTGCTTTCGATTGTCAATATTATGCTCTCCACAGTTAAGGCACCATTTATCACAGTGGCTACTCGAACCTATTTTAGCTACAAAAGAATCAATTTTATTAGTCACTGATAATTTTTCTTCACACAACGATTCAAGAATTTCAGTAAGATAAATGTATAATTCTTGATTCATTGCTTCTTGCATTTCTGATATAAGCTCAAAAAGATTTTCATATAGTATCCTATTAAAAGAATTAAACGCCCAAGGTGTGTTAGTATATTGAATCTGATTTTGAGATTCCATGTTAAAAGCAACAAAACTAATAATGATATGGAAAATCACTGCATTTAATCCTTGATCAAGATAATTGTGCTGTCCTTTCTGCTCATTATCAAACGCTACGAATAAAAGCCCATTAGGTAGAGGTTCTTCTCTTTCAGAAAGTTCGTCTAACCAACTTTGAAAACGAGAATAACCTCTTAAGTATTATTATTTAATAAAAATTAATTAAGTTAAAAAAAAAAAAAAAAAATTTAAATTAAAATTAAATATAACCTAAACTTGTTATATGGTTATCAATATTAATAATAGTTTTGGATTGTGCTATAGAATATTTAATAGCCGATGCTACAAGATTTATTTCTGATACATATTTCCCATGCCTAGATCCATATATTGAATCGACAGCCATTACCCTTTTGAAAATTTTCTCGATATTCAAGGAACCTACATTATAATTATTTTGAGTTAGTGTTTCAATAAATTTTACAACAACTTGATTGCATTTACTTAGCCATGTTTGTGGTATATAACTTAATAAATTTTCTAATAAAAACTTATTATTATCTCTGATCAGAGATTCAATATCTTCATATAGTGATTCCTTTTCAAGTTGCGCGATAGTTATAACTTCTTTAATACGTTTATCTTGATTGCTATATCGAGAATTCCACTGTTCAATAAGTTTCTTATTTATTTCATATTGTTTTCGATATAGGTCCTTTAATTAAACTATCTCTTCACAATTTTTTTTCTTAACTCTGTTATTTCCCCATTTTGAATTTCTATTCGCAACAGAAACTCCGTAATCGCGTTAATGAAGTGTATTACGTTTTCACTATCTTCTCTTTCAACTTGACCTCTATCGAATAAGTTCTCAGCTTTGTTAAACTCTAAAGATGAATATGGCTTTTTAATATTAGTTATCTCTTCATCAACCCTAGAATTAGAATTAGAATTATCGTCAGAATTAGTATCGAATCGAAATTTCTTAACTTGGTGAATAGAAGATAAGGAAGACGAATTATTTGATAATTGCTAATAAAAATGATTTTTAGAAACAACTTGATTGTAATGAATTTGACAGATTGAGAAAGAACTCAAGCGGGACTGAAGATCTACAAGTTTAGGTATAAAAGCGTGAAACAAGGGGAGTCGATCAACTGTCGATTTACTATCAGCATGTCTCCAAGTTTGTAATGCTGCCGTTTCGCAAATGCTTAAACCAATTCTATGATATTTCTTAACTAATTCTTTAAATATGCAGGGAAGTTCTGCGGCTTTTGGTCGAGATGAATGTGACATCATAGTAGATTTTAGCACGAAAGACTAAAAAAAAAAGTCTTAGCTTTACAAGTTTAACACTAAAATTCTTGTATTTTCGGGTCTCATTTATATTTTTAAAAATCGTTGATCCTGAAAAGCTATTGATTGATCCTTAAACTAGAGTTTCTCTACTATCAATTTGTATAGTTTTAATTATATGTAAATATTATAAAAATCTCAAATTCGCAATTGAAAGATTGAAAAAAATGGTAAAGAGCGTCGATCAAGAGCCAATCAAATTTTTGCAAATTATTCCAGAATC